GGGGAGGGAGGAGAGAGAGAGAGAGAGAGAAGTAACTTTTCGCGATTTCGTCTCTAATCTCTAAATTTATTTATGACATTTTAAAACCGCATCTGAAACAATTGATCGAATATCACAAAGTTTGAAGAATATAAAAGAATTTTCCAAGAACTTGTTCCAGACGCTCCAAATATTTTATTGTCCATAACGGTTCTTAACCATACTTCTGGCATTGTTGGCATTTATAAAAAGTGCAGGTAAAGTTAAAGAGAAAATATTGGTATCGCTTTCTAATCTTCTATCTGGCAATAACCATTTAAATAATTGATATATTTTCTCAGACAGAATTTCTATTAAAAGTAATTTCAATTTTTATTTCGAGCCTTTCTCGAATTTGTCCTCTCAATAATCGATTAAACCAAGGTAGTATACTTCGAGAAAGTTCCAACGATTTTAACATAAATCATATGGATATATTACTTTTTCGCTATAACCCTTAAATCGTTTTAATCGTTAATACTTAAAAATGGATCACGAGCAGACAGTTATTTCGCGAAAATTGATATTTATCGCGATATTATTATTGGAAAAATTGTTTAAACTCGTGGAAACTATCCCATACTACGTATATTAAAATGATTTGATTCAAGGCTAGATTAGATTAAATTGTTTCGTAAATATCTGCCATAATTGTAATTGATACTCTCAGATATTAATGCTTACGAATAATTATTTCCATCAATCCAACGTTTGGAAACGTGTCGTAATTTCGAGATTTCGTTAATACGATCTGATATAAATAAAAATAAATAAATAAATTTATTTATACAATGCGTATTTTTTCTAAATATAAAGGAACGTTTTTATACTGAACACGGAACACTAATTGTAGCAGAGATAAGAAAATCGTTACCCATCGTTTCTCGATCCGAAACTAGGTTTTCGAGCTGACAGCTCGAAATCATCCTCGTCGAGACAAATTAACGAGCGGATAATAAAATAAAAAAAAAAAAAAAAACGTCGGAATTCAATCTCTCTTATATATAACGGACGTTGCCACGTCGATAGTGTCCATGACGTTGAATTATAGAGACCGATTCGAAACCTGTAAAGTGGCAAAAAACCACGAGGCAACGATGTATGATAAAGTATCCCGATATTTCATCGCCGAAACGCGGATGAAACACAAAGGTTCTGTCATCATTAGAACGGTAATATTCACTTATGAAAGTGAAATCAATTTGTCTGGAACGATATTAAATCCGCGCGGTGTCCTCCACCATCGATTATTATTCGAAGTGAAGAGTGAAATTTTCTGGCGGTCATCTAATCGTTTTTTCCAAACCGGGCAAAAGTCATGGTGCAGCCGCAAAAGAAAAAAACCACGTGGGCCACGTTTACGACGATTGTAACCGCGGTATAATTGTAAATTCAAACCGTTCGTTGGTCGTTTCACGAGATATCGTTGTACGATGTGCTGATTAAATAATGAGATTGCATTTGTCGTTTCGCAAAATGGAAATTTAACGTGATCTTATCGCGTAAAATATTTCTATTAGAATTGTGCTTCTCAAATAGGTTGAGACGTTTATTTGCATTTTAATTGATCGTAACTTATTTTTCATCGATTTGCTCTTCTCTTTCTCTAACTTTCTCGAAAACGCATATCCTAATTATCCTTTCTAAACTCTATTGCGAAATAAACTGACTAATGATATTAGAAAATTAATAAATTAAATTAATGTAGAGAAGAATTATATAATGATGATTCTTCGTTAAAGAGAAGTCACTTATCATTTTTCAATTATCTCAAAGTTTAAGTTTTGGAAAAATATATTCCAGATAGAAGAAATTATGATATGGCTTTGTTATAAAAAGTAATATCGAATCTTGGATAGGATACAACGGGATGCCATTCACGTGTCATTCTTAATAGGATCGACATGAATGATCGACGTATTTACACCGATGCTTTACAAATTTTTATCGCCGTACCCTGTATTTCTTTCGAAACGAAAATTACCTCGAGCAAAAACCGCCACACGTTGATTCTTTCGAAAAGAGCCCGTCGATGATAGATCATGGCTGATGGACAATCGATTAAGATCGATATCTTACGATTCAAACGTCGTACTGTTTACCCTGCACACATGCGTCGCTCTAAATAATCCATCTCGAAAAAAATCGATTCTTAATAGCAAGCATCGTCCTGTCCCCCCTCCTCCCCTCCACCCCCCCCGAAACGAGTGTTAAATTGTGCAAATTTATCAAATTTACAACACATTCCCCTCTTAAAGTAACATTACTGGTAAGATCAAAACTAACCCACGTAACTAAAATTAAAAATTAAAAGGAAAAACTGGCGAGCGATGGTCAATAATTCATCCAGAAAATTGTCAGATCTCGATCTTCAAATCGTGTGTAGGCAACCCCCGAAACAACCGTGCTTAACCAACGCAAGCCACGAAACGGCGTTGCTTCGCACCGATCGGGCGATCACGATGCGGCCCCCATAACCGCAAATCGTCTCGCGCGGAAGGACGTGACCTCGAGGAAGCGGAGTACGAGGAGGAGGCGGGCGGAAAGAGAAAAAGGAGCAGCACGGTGCACGCGACAGGGATGCGGAGAGCGCATCGGTTCGTGGCGAGGAAGCGACAGGGGAAGAAGGAGGGTTACAACTTGACGTAACTTGACCTTTGCTCGCATCCTCGCGATAGGGGTTCCACGGGGGGGCCACAGTAGCACCGGCCAATCCCATCTCTTCGCACCTTTCGCTCTGCACACTCCTCGAGCTCCTTCCTCCCTCCCTCTGCCCCCCTATCGTTCCCCGATCTTTCTTTCTTTCTCCCAGAACGCTTTTTCCACGCTCGCGGCCGTTGTTGCTGCTCCCCCCTCTCCCCCCCCCCCCAGTTCTTGCTTCCAGACGACCCCGGACGATCCACCCGGACCCGGCCAGCCAACGTTTACTTTACTGCCGTCACGTGTAGGCCGTGGCACGGCGTAGAACACGGCGGAGGAACGATCATGTCTACGAGCTAGGTAGCTAGGAGCTACCAGCTACCACCACCTCACCTCGAGAGCTTGAAGCTGGCTACGGTTCCTCGCGGCGCGCACGAGGCTAGTTAAGATAGCGATCCGAGCGGGCCGACCGGGAACAATGCCGTAAAGAAGCGGGGCTGCCAGTGAATCAGCCCTTATGGCGAAAACGTGAACGATTAGTGGCCGTCCGTGTTAACATGGATCCGTGAGAGCTGAGCCGCCACCGAGCTCCATTCAACCGGGCTTCCACCACTCTCCTCTCTTCCTATAATTGCGAAATAGCGCAATGACCACCCGTCGGGGTGGTCGATCAGATTTTTCCCTCTTCTCGGATCGCTGGACACGCGCCCGCGGTTGTTAAACGTTCGGCCACCAACGTGGAGCGCGGTCGTTGCTCGCGGCCGACTTTATTGGATTTAAGGTTACGATTACTCGATAAACCCCTTATCGCGCCGTTGTATCGGGCCCGTGTTGTCATCCAGGGGGCCGATGAAGTTACGCTGCGTTGAGGAAGGGCTTTCTCGAGGAAGGAAGGAACGTTGGAATGCGTGGTGGTCAGTGGGGGGTGAGGTGTGGATGAAGTACACCGATTCGTGTGCGAACATAGTTGGATCTGTCTCGTTGGATCGTAGAAATTCTCTTTTTCCAAGGAACGCGTCGTATCCCCCTGCGTCGATTTATATTCCACGTCGAAGGTCCATCAGGGGCGAGAAAAAGCGCGCTCGTTAATCGAGGAGCCACTCGAAAGGTGGAATGGAAAAGGATCCGTCCGCGATAAAGGAGAGAAGAGGGGAGAGAGGGAAAAAAAAGTGAACTGAAGGCAGAGAGGAAGGACAATCGCTCGTCAACCGGCCGTCAAAACATCCCCAAGGATCCATGGCGAATCACATTCTCACACGCGGTGTGAGCGACACGGAAGGAAGGAGAGGAGGCCGTACCCGAAGAAGCCAACGTTCCAACGAAGAAGTGGAAGTACCTTTTCTCCGTCACACGACAATGTGTGACCGCAAACAAACGAGTGGCAACGATAGGGGGCGCCAATGCGCATTCAAGACGAGACAGACTGTCATTTGTCACGTCTTTCACGCTCTCTAATGACACGCACTGCTTTTGGACGCGTTCTTACGCCAGCCGTCCATGCACCTGGCATCGACTCGAGGCTTTATTATTTCCTTTTTTTCCGCGCTCAACTCCTATTTCGCATCTCTGTCTGCCGTTTTTCCTTCTCCTCCTCCCTCCAGCATCGTTTCGCCGCTATCATCGTGTTTCCCGCTTCTTTTTCCACGATGCTCGTGCCGTCGAGACGGTTGAATTCGATTTGTTAGGATTAAGAGACCCCGAGCGGAGGAAACGTCCGAATTGGTTGGGGGGAAAAAAGTTTTTGTGCTACGTTCAGGATCGATTTAGTTTGATCTGGAACGAGAAATTGTACGAAATCAGTTCGTATTAATTATCACCAAGAGTGATCGTGATCGTTAATTGTTCTCGGTGTCCTATTGCACAATCGATTTTGAAAACGTTATAACAAATAATACTTGTTCCTTGTACAGATAAATCAATCGTTTGTCAACCTATAATTTTATCACATTCAATTTTAAATTGTCAGAAAATCTGTTAGCTTGGCAATCAAAATTCAATTTCGACTCTGACTGACTTTGATTTCTTATTTTTTTTTTTTCTTCATCTCCCATTCTAATTCCTGTCTTATCGATAAAAAAAAAAAAATTAACGACTGTGTTACTAAAAACGTATAGAATTCCATGCAAATTATGCAAAGAAGTAATATTATCTACAAAAAAATTTGCTTCCTACTTTTATATTCTAATAGTAGGATATTCTTATACTCTAATATTTATTAAATATACAATTAGAAATTCTTTTCACAGATCTATATATAGAAAGAAATTCTACATAATCAATTAACAACCTCCAACAATATTATAATCACTTACCGTCGAAAGTACTACGAGAAGAATCCTAAATCTTCCATCCGAACTCGACGTAATCCACCTTTAATCCTAACGAACTCCAAGACACCAACCCTTCTTATCCTCAATCCAATACTCTTCTAATCTCAATCACGTTAACTCGAGCCGTTCGAACCTGTGTCAAACTCCAGTAAGAAACAGCAGTGAAGCAGCAGTCATTGCACCCCCTAACGATGGCGCTCGTCGGCCATTATAAATCCCTCGCGAGATTTATCATCATCGGCCATGCCAAAACGCTGTAACCCTTTTAAGGGGGAAAACACTTGCTCCTGCCCCGTCGCTTATCCACCGATCGTTCGAAACGAATTGCGGACGAGCTTCCTCGCGTTCCCTTCCCAACAACCACCGCTTCTCCGCGGCTTCCTGCTACTCCTCTATGATTTAACCCCACAAGCCTTCCTCCCGGCCGGCCAGTCGGCATGATTTAAACTCATTGGGTGCCACGTCCGTGCGCTCAAGTCCGACACGCGCGTTCACGCATACAGCAACACGTCCGTTGAACCGCGTCCAGGGAATGCCTCGTTCCTCGAGCACCCCACGCAAGAAAACTTAGATCCACTTACCACTTTTTCTCATGGACCCCGATTTTTCACTGGATCCCGATTTTTCGATCGTATTTTCTTTTTTTTAGGAAGATTTAAGATTCCTTTATTCCTTTCCACCATTTTTTCACGAAGAACGAAATGGAAAAATTAGATTAGATAAAAAGAACATCACAAGATGTAATAATACGTCTTTTAATTTGTAAGAGGCACTTCAAATTAAATATACGCAATACGTGCGATCGCGGATCGCGTCGAAAGAGGAATGGTATGCTACGACGTATGTAAACACGTTCGTTCCAAATATTGTAAGGGATTAAACTTTTGTGTTCGTCGTGTATGAGTCATATTTGTATCGAATCTTGTAAATATTGAATTCCAAGAATTGAAATCAAGTGTGTGTATCCGTTCCGGTGTTGTTAAACAGATATTGATAACGTTTCGAAGAGATAAATATTCGGAGAATAATAGGATTATAGGAGATTTTCAGGTAGGGAAAATATTTCGACAAGTGTAAGATATTAACGACATTAATCCTTTGCACTCGCCATATAATCGCCATTCTACATTTTATTATTATACGTTATTATATTTACATTAGTTAATCTTCTTAAGTATAAATACGAGTGCAAAGGGTTAAAATGTAGCATTGAAGAGAATAATAATATGAACTATTTATGTTAAGACGAAGTTCGAAGAACTTAACTATTTTCAATAGAATTTGCATTGTTGGATTTTTATACTGCCGCGAGTATGAAATGCGAAATGCTCTCTCGAACTAAGAAACGTTCTATTGAAATGTCTACGAGTATCGACAGGTACTACGATAGTGTAAACGATCGATTCGAATTTAAAGATCAGTACTTTAGATGGTATATCCTTTACGATAATTCGTATTAAGATAACAGTTAAACTATAACAAACTTGTACGTAACTTTAACAATTTAACTAATTTAATTATCCAAAAGTGATTTTCTTCGATCGTCACACGATTTAAAACTTGTTTCAAAATTCTTTTGCAACACGTTCAACCATTTTAACCACGGCTCGAATTTCGATCTACGGAAATCTACAATCTACCACTCGAGTCAAATTTACGAACGAAAAATTTAAGTGCACAAATGGCCGAGGATCGAGACCGATCTCCAGCTTCCTTTCGAAACCTTCGATCGAACTAAGCCGCTCTGATCCATATCTGCGCGCGCTTATTTGAATAACAAAATCGTTCGAACCACGAAAGGAGGAACGGAAAGGGCAACGGGATGCTCATCATCGTCTAACCCCTGACGCATGTGCTCTCGAGCAGTCGTGTACCGAACGAGGATCGTCTATCAAACGACGGCTAGAACAATGGCCCGTGACTTAGTAGGAGCGCCTCCGCAACATGACACGGCGTGTAGAACGCTCGCGTCCGTCTGTCGAGCGGAGGAAAGCGGACGCCTCGCTGTTCTAGCTTCCATTCTGTAATGATCTACACGAATCTGGCCCGATGTTTCGTGCATCGGCCATTCGTTCACGTTCACGAACGCCTCCTCTCTCGGTAAACGCTTAAACCCACGCGTCTTTTCTTTCTTTTTTCTTTTTTCTTTTTTTTTTTTTTTCTTTTATTTTTCAGGTATACTCTGTCTTCGATGTTGCGTGAGAGAGAACAAATGACCGATGATGAGAACGGTTTCGCAATGATTGGAAACGCTTGGATCGGTGTAACGAAGGTAGTCCAGGTGAATTTACGACGCACGAGACGCGTCTCCAATGTCGATCAGAAGAAAATTTCGAGCTATCGAGAAGTTGAAGATTTTTATCTCGTAAGAAAGATTTGTAACCGAGTTTAATGATTAGATTTTATGTAACGAATGTAGGAAGGTAATGTTTAAATTTGATGAAATTTCTCTTTCTTTCCAAAAATTCTTTCCAAAATATATAAATACATCGAGGATCTTCATTTACCGAGACATCTTGGAAACGTAATATAATTTTAGAATTATTGTTGAATATAAAATGAATGTAACTTTTTCATCTTTAAAAATGGCAAAATAAATAACAAATTCTTCCCCGCATAAAAACGATTATTGAATTACTCGCGAAAAATAGATAGATTCCAACCAACGCAAGATGATAAAGCGACCGACTAATTCCGAGCGATTTCTACGAATCAGCTCGAAACGAGGCGATGATTCTCGAGGAGGGGTTCGATGTCGAACGAGCTCTTCCCTCGTTCCAAATCCCGAAAACCAATCGAATCTGAGGGAGGATAAAGCAAACAAGTCGCTCGCTACAATTTGACCGTATCTCGGCAGCGGGGGAGATCGACGCCGTGGGCCATCGCGCGCCGTTTCGCCCATAAAACCACGAGTTATGGTTATTTAAAAACTTATTGGCCCGCCCATGCGTTGCGGTTTGGGGGGAGTGACTGGGCCGAAGGGGAGGGAAAGGGAGGAAAGAAGTCCGTGACCCAGCCCTCAGATAAATCAAAGGATATTAAGACCATTCCCGCTCCCCTCTCTCCTTTCGCTCGCGAGGTGGATGGCGAGCCACTCCACCTTCTTCGTTCTTCTCTCCTCGCACGGGAGTTCTTCTTAGCCAAACGCATTACCGGGGTGGCAGAGGGCCGCCATAAAACTATCCACGTTCACGGACACGGGCTTCGTGCAGCTCCTCTCGTGGGCTGCTTTACGTTCGATCGGCGACAAGGAACCGGGAGCAATTCAACCGGCCCTGAACGGGGCAAACTGGATCCTTGATAAACGGATATCGAGTTTCACGAGCGTCCGCCTCCGAAATAACGAGTGGTGAATCACATCCTCCGTTCGTCTATTTGAGGAACGTTTGTCTCTTGGATCAATTTGGAGAATTTTTACAAGGAAGATATTAATACAAACACTGTAATATATCTTTTTCAAATCGTCAAGTCTGAAGGAGTTTATAGGAATATTATTCTGAAATGATCGCGTGAAATTGGCACCACCAATCTTCCGATAAGCAATCATCCCCGCTATAAATCAAAGCGCACGTCGAGTCGAAACCGGTGCAAACTCTCCTCAATCTTGGTGGAACAAAGAATTGTTTTTGGAAAACCACGAAACTGGGTTATTCCGTGTCGCGTTTCGCGGGTAATTACACGCGTGCAGGATCGAAGCGACGAGGAGGATCGACGCGAGTACGCGAGGATTATTAATGAGTGCATCTCAATCCGGTAATTTTTCCACGTCGCGGCGGGTAATGCACGAACCGCGGGGGGCGAGCAGGCTATATTGCCCGATCAATCAAAATGAGCCCGGCCTGGCAACCGACTCCTCTCTGTGGCGGGGCGCACGAAACGAAATCGACCGCCTTTTAACCATTACGCACCATGAAAATCCTCGACCGTGATCCTGCGCTTCTTTCAAGGACGGGACGTGGATAATTTCTCGAAGGTACGAATTTCCGGATTTTTCTTCCTTTCTTCTCGACGAATATTTTTTCATTCCAGGAATTGTTTGAGATTGCCGTTTGATTCGTCGTCTGATCTGATGAATCGTCAAAAGACAGGCTTTTACTATACACCGCAGGTTTACGTTAATTTGTTTAACGTTCCGAGAATATTTTTTTTCAAATTTCATTAAAATGCACGTATTTTGAAATATATACACATTTATGAATCGGAATTCGTATTCTAAATGTTCTTGATCTTCGACGATTTGACGATTTTTCTTAAAATACAATTTTTATTTCGTAGTTTGATCCAAGGCGTTGACGAATCGTTAAAATCGCACTTGCACAGCGGAATATATCATCGGGACTTTTATAGTTGCGTGTGGTGGAGGACCAAGTGGCTGAGAGTAACACGATCTGCACTATATTTCTCGATCGCGTCTTGTGGACGTATAGTAAGAGGATCGGGTAT